GTGTGAACCCGAACAGCGTATAAACTGTATCCTAACTCTTTCACTGCCTACCTCGTTCTCTTACAACGGTTTTTAAAGGCTTCCTAGTATTCCACCATCTGTATGTACTATAATTTAAACATATTCCTACTGTCGAACATTTATTTCCAACACATCCCTGTTCGAAACACGGTAATGGATACGCCGGTACGTCATAGGCAGAATAACGACCCCGCCCCCGAAGAGGCCCACGTCCTAAGCCCTGGAACCTGTGAACACGTGACGGTAGAGCCTAAAGGGCTTGGAAAACGTGATTAAGTTAAGAACCTTGCGATGGGGAGATGATCTGGGTGGACTCAGTCTAATCACATGGGTCCTTAAAAGAAGAGAACCCTGTGGTCAGAGAAGAAGATGTGACAACGGAGATGGGGTCAGAGAGATGCTGCATTGCTGGCTTTGAAGATGGAGGAAGGGGGCCATGAGCCAAGGAAAGTCAGCAGCCTGGAGAGGCTGGAGAAGGAAGAAGGAAGTAAGAGTCTCCCCTGGAGCCTCCACAAAGGAAGACGGCCTGGCCACCACCTTGGTTTGAGTGCAGTGAAACGTGTGTTCAATTTCTGACCTGCAAAACTGTAAAAATATAAATATGCGTGCGTGTGTGTGTTGTTTTAAGCCACTCAATTTGTGGGAAGTTTTTATGGCAGCAGTAGGAAACTGATACCCAATTTTTGTGCACATCTTTTACGGTTTTCCTTAGAAGTCAATTCCTAGAAGAGTTTTCCAGGTACCTAATACACATCGCCAACCAGTTTACAATCTCATCAGCCATGTAGAAAGTGCTTGCCTCGCTTGCCCCTACAGACCCTGAGACTTAAGTTCATAGGCATCCTATTGTTTCATGTTCTTTCATTTAAATTGATGATAGTAAGCGTATCCCACAGCAGTAGTAGCCCACTGAGGGCTTACTACATGCCAAGCACAATCTAAATGTTCATTTAATCCTCACAACGTCTCTATGAGGTCTGTTGCCATTATTAGCCCCATTTTACAGAAGAGAAAACTGAGGCACAGGGAAGCTGAGAAGTAGTAAAGCTGGAGTTAGACCCCACGACATCTGGCCCCAAAGGGGATGCTTTTTGATGAGTCTTCCATTAAAATCTAAGCTCCTGGAAGGCGGGGTCGGTCTCCTCTCCCGCCTCGCTTACTCTAGGGATCCCTGAGTTTCCCCCAGCGGCAGCATAATCCAGCAGAGTAACAACCGTCGTGAAGAGCTGTACACGTGGAGACTGACGTGTGACACGTGCACGTATGTGTGTTTAGTGTGCCTTTGCTTCTGGTCAATCCCAGAGTAATTGAAGTATTCTCTAATCATGAAGAGTCTCTTCTTTAACGGCCAGATGGCTGAACTCACACAGGCCCCTCCCACACATCCTGTTACACACCCTCCTGTGCAGCAGACACCACGCCAGGTGCCAGAGACAGCGGTGACCCGGACATGTGCGGAGGTGGGTGTGCGTGTGGATGCTGTAACGGACCCAACAACAGTAGCTGAAATGAGAGTTTGTTTCCCTTCCCGCTGCAGAGTCAGGGGTCCGGGGCTGCAGGCACCTCTGTGGAGCTGGAGGCCCAGGCTCTTGCTCTCTTGTTGCCCTTCTGTCCCCTCCAGCGAAGATCAGCCAACATTTTCTGTAAAGGACTGGAGTAGATATTTTAGGCCATACCAGTGGCAACAACTCTGCCCCTTTAGGTGAATGAACAAGGAGTGGCCGGGTTCCGGTACAATGTGATCCACGAAACAGGCGTGTACAGCACGTGATGTGCAGCAGGTACCCGACAGAATCCCAGGAGGGAGCGCCATCACTTCTGCTTGGGTCTGCAGAAGAGGGGCGCCGCTCCCCTGCCCCGTCCAGGCTCAGGAAGGTGACTTGCATCTTCCCCACAGCCCGCCTGCTCCCTGCTGCTCTGACGTCCCCTGCACACCAGCAGGCCAGGCCATCGCCCCCCTCAGCCTCCCATCCACTGCCTGTTTCGAAGCTCCCCTCACAACTGACCTTCCTCCGCCACCTCGCTTAGTGTCCACTGGCTCCAGCTGGGACGGTGACGACACCAGTGCCGGTCATTGGCTGGTCCCTCACGGCTCCCTCATCTGACCTGGTCCTCCAGCGTTTGACCTGATGCTGGCCACTGCCTCCCCTTCTTGGCTTCCTCCGACCTCATCAGTGTTTCCTTCTGATCTTCTCTGCCGCTGCCTCCTCTACTAAATGTGAGGTCCCAGGCTCACTCCCTGAGACTCTTCTTCCCACAAGGCCCCCATCACTCACTCCCATCACATTAGAACCCTCTGCAGGCTGAGGATGCCCCAGTGGACGGCTCCAGCCCTAAGCCTCACCTGGCTCCTGATCTGTCGGTGCCGCTACCTCTACACCGTCTCCGCTGGGAGACGAGGCCTCACACGGAACCCGTCTGACATGCAACCCTCAGGCCCCCGCCCCTGCCCGGTCTCCTCCTCTCAGTCAGGGGCATCACCACGACCCAGCTCTCTGCCACTGCCTCCCAGTCTGAGGTGTTCACCTCCTGCACCCCCTCAACCAGCCTGTCTGCACACAACCTGCCTGTCCTGTCCTTCATCCCGCTGATGGGGTGGGGGACTCTGACTGCTGGGACTGCTGTGACTGCTGTTACTCCCGCACTCCCAGTACCAGCTCTCCTGCCAGCAGTCGGTGATTTCTTTGACACTCAAATCGGGTAACGTTCCTTCTCTCTTAAGACTCTCCAGGTACTGCTCGCTGGACTTTCCATTCTCTTTTGGTGGCCAAAAAGGCCTTACAGAGGTGGCCTCTGTCCAGCTTGCTGGCTCCCCTCTTTCCCCTGTGTCCCTTACTCACGGGGCCCCTGCCCCTCTGATCTCCTGCCCCAGGGCCTTTGCACCTGCTCGTCCCTCTGCTTTCTCCTCATCCTCATCAAGTTTTACCTGGGATGCACCTCCTCAAGGAGACCTTCCCCGCCCACCCCTAGTCCCCACTGCCACCTCCCCTGAGCTGACCACATCGCCCTGAACTGCCCTCACAGCACATGTCATATCCAAAATATTCCTTGAACCTTTTGTGGGCTTCTCCCCTAATCCTGCTTCTGGAATGTGCCAGCAGGACCTCCTCTGTCCTGTTCTCTGCTGCACCCACAGCCTGCGGGGCAGGTCCCAGCTCCTGGGAGGCGCTCGGTATGTACTTTTAAAAGATAAAAACTTCCAGGTTCCCCGACTGATTTTATCTTATGGCTGAAAATAATATTCCAGCTGAAGTGAAGGTTTTTTACTTTCTTCTGTATATAGTGGAATAAATACTTGTTTTGGTTTCTCATGTTTCCCTGAAGGGGAATTGAGGGGTCAATGAAAGTAGGGGGAAAATTAGATCCTTGGACTAAGGAGAGAGCAGAACGTGTATTTAATGTCTAGACTCAGTCCAGTGGGGAAGTTTTGAATTCAATATTGAAAATGCTTTGGGGCCTTTTTTCATCAACCTAAATACTATTTCTTTTATTTTGGTAGAACATGTATAACACAAAACTCACTACCTTCACCGTTTTATGTGTATACTCTAGCGGCATAAAGTGCATCCACACTGTTGTGTAACCACCACCACGACCCATCCCCGGAATATTTTCAAATCCTCAAACTGAAACCGTCTGCATTAAACACCAACTCCCTACCCGCCTCCCCGCTCCAGCCCCCTGTAACCTCTATTTTACTTCCAGTCTCTGAATTTGACTACACAAGGTACCTCATATAAGTGAAATTATACAGTATGTGTCCTTTTGTAACTGGCTGACTTCACTCAGCGTGTTTTCAGGGTTCATTCAGGTCACAGCATGTGTCAGAATGTCCTTCCTTTTTAAGGTTGAGTGACATCCCATTGTACGTCTACAGCACGTTCTGTTTAACCTTTCTTCCACTGATGGACATTTAGGTTGTTTCTACCTTTTGGCTATTGTGAATAGTGCTTTAGTGAACATGGCGTGCAAACATCTGTTCAAGTCCCTGCCTTCAGTCCTCTTGGGTGTATACCTAGAAGGTAAATTTTTTTTTTCAGCGTTATCCAGTATTGGGGATGAGGGTCTGCTTCACTCAGATCAGGATTCTAACCGGGGAACCCGAGAGCATGCCTGGAGGTGCTCCTGACAGACGGGCAGTCCCCGGTGTATGGTGCCCTCGCCCTGCTCGGCCAGGCCCCACACAACCACGGCAGAAAGAAACTCAAAGCAAGCAAGCCCGGCATTCCACTCGAAACTCCATCCCACTGAATTTCTAAGAAAGACAAAACAAAATATAAAAATAAGGCATTTTTATTAAAAGTTAAAATGTCTTCCAAGTTTACACATACAAACATACTTCTACCACCACGTGGATTTCTAAAATCACCGACAAGCAGATACAAACCAGCCTGGCCAATGTGCATCGGCCCCTGGTCCCTGGGCACCCGTGCTGGGCGGAAGCCTGCGCCCCCGGAGGGAAACCGAACACCTACCAGCACCTCCGTGCTGCTGTCCCGCCCCAGGGACCAGCCTGCCGGAGAGGAGAGGACATCCCTGCCAGACGGACGGCAGAACAGCGCCGGGCTCCCTGCTTAGCTGTGCCCACCAGGTCTGCAAAGGGCCCCCTCCACCCGGACAGAGCAGGTCCATCCAGGCCAGCGACCATCGGCGAAGGTGCCAACACCAGCCGCACATTCCAGTCAACGGAGAGCTTGAAACAAAAGCCTGATTGAGCTACGGTCCATCAGCTCAGAACCTCTGGGGGTGCCGCCGATCACATTTGCTGTCTGCAGGCTCCCTGGATTCCTGTGCCCACGGTGGGAGGGAACCACACTGGCCGCTTCTTTCTCAGCTCTTACCTGCTGAGAAGTCACCCCGGTTCTGACAGAAACATCTGGTGCATCTGAGGCACTTCTTGACTTGTGAAGGTCCAACACCCAGATGCTTGGTTTCTACCACTGATTTGCGAAGGGTTAAAAAAAAATAGAGCACGCAGATTTCATAAAAAAATTTATTTTCATATAAAAGTGCCAAAATATCCACCAATGTCAATCTATTTCAACAGCCAGTTTATGCTATCATCCAAACACAAGCCTCTTTATTCACATTGTTTAAAAATCCGACTCTTCTTTTCACACATTCCCACAGTAACCGGAGTCCCTGGACAGCGGGAAATTTGCGTTCCTGTTGGCTGTGGTAGTCCATATGTCCAGGTTCATGTAGGCACGAAACGGGTTAAACCCCGGGTAGTATTCCTTGCACATGACCGCCTGGTTGTCCAAGTGAGTCGAGTGCTCCGTGGTGGGACTGACAGGGCAACAGTTGTCATATACGTCGTTTTGCGGGGCCCAGATGGAACCAAAAAGTCCAGACATTGGAGACAAGCTTCGGGTGCTTGTGAGGTAGGGCTGAAGTGTACATGAGGAGGGAAAAAAAAAGTTAAAAAAATAAAGACGCCTTAGAGAGGCAATGTCAATGTCAATATCAAGGTTGACTACACAGCCGTGGATGCCACGGTGGTATCAGTCCAAGCTACTTGGAAGTGACTAAATTATTCTCAACAATCTGGGTTGCTGTCACTCCATTTTCCTCAAACGGAAGGTTGTGAGCGCCCCATCAAGCTAGATCAACTTATTTCAACCCCAGGAAGGACCCACAGTCAAACGCCTCTCTCTGTAAGAAAGGGCTGAGTAAGGCGGAAGGGCCGGGCTTTTAAGCACAGAGCGCGTTCAGGGGCAGAAGCCCCCGGGCCTTGGTCGCCTACCACTGACTGACCTTTCTGGGACGTTTATTTCACCTCCTCCCACAGCTGAAAGGTCAGCAGGACCACAGAAACACAGCTGTGTCCCAGACAGCTTCCTGGCCCGAGTTTGCTTTTATCAACAACCATCACTCCTCTGTGTGGCCGGGGTGTCTCTGTCACTGGGTGGCCAGGCCGCTGGTGTCTGCAGCGATCCACCCCACCCAGCCCGGTCTAACTACGTGCAAGGGCCCCGCAGAGTGTGGCCGGTGACCAAAGGGAAGCCGCCAGGCTCTCCAGCTGATCTGAACCCAGCTGTAAAGCTCCGGTGAGCCCAGGGGGAAGGAAGCACCAGCAAGAAGCCGGGGCCCAGGCAGCAGGGCGGGCGGCACTGACCGGAGAACTGATGAGCCCAGCGTGTCCCCAGGCGGTCGGCACGCTGGGGGGGCTGTTCCAGGCAGACTGGGAGCTGTGGTCAACAAAGTCCGTCTGAACTTCGGCAGGACAGGGGAAGCCATTGGGGTAGTTCATGTTTTCTGTGAAAAATGGGAGACATCGACAGAAGTGAACATTTTTCTGGAAAGAATGAAATTCTCATTCTCAGGCAAAAAAAGCTTTCCAGGCCTTACGATATGACCAAAGACAGACGTGGTGCGGGAAGGGTATAGCTCAGTGGTAGACTGCGTGCTTAGCATGCACGAGGTCCTGGATTCAGTCCCCAGTACCTCCTCTAAAAATTAATAAATAAACCCTAACATGGGCCAGGGTTGAGAATCACTGGTCTAGACTCGTCCTGTCATCTGTAACATGCTACTCATAGGGACAGTTTTACTCTGAGAGGCAATTCATTGATAACCAACTGTCTTCCAGTTTAGCTTTGTAACCCTGATCTGCAGTTAATATCATCTGTCTCCTAATGGCTGATACTAGACTTCCCATACCCTTGGCAGCGTATTTCCGTGACTCTTAACAAAATGTGGTTTTTTGCATAGACAGTATGAGGTAAACTTCCATTTAGCACAAACTAAATCATCAACTAAACAGTCGGAGAAGTGGGTCCTAAGTAGCAGGATCTTTAAAATTGAATTTACAAAGCAATCATTTGGGGGATGGGAGTGAACAAGAAGGCTGCAAATGACGGGAGAGGGAGAGACACAAATAAGCTTCTATGAAGAAAAATACAACTTTCATATTTTGCTTATGAATTAAAGAAATAAAGTAGCCACACTCCCAAAAAGAAATTAATTAATTAATTAACCCCCCCTAAAAAAACATAAAAAATGAAAAAAAATACAGACATAAAGTAATTACTCCCTGAGACACATCACCTGGGAAGCCCTCGGGGAGGACGTAGTTCCTCTGGGATTTATTTTCTGTATTTGATAATGTGATGGGTAGTGTAAATACTACCATAGATTTAAATAGTGTCAAGATTCTTATTAATCCTGAAAATTTTCCTTTATTACCTGTCATGCCACTGTCAGCCACCTGCACATACACCAAATGCGTTGATTTAGGAGCAGAAGGCACCCGGCACTTCGCAGTTGTCAGTAAGAAGATAATAAACACAGCCTCACGCAGGGAGAAAGTGCCCACAGCACCCCCTTGTGGCTATCAGAGAGCACTGCATATGCCAAAACCCAGATCAGTACAAGCGTTTGTGCTGACTCCAGCCCAGGCACCTGTAATTTCCCACAATTTCCCCTCCGAGCTCCTTTCTTTCTTTCCGCAGCATCTCCCAGGGGCAGAAGAGTCAGGACATGCTGAGGAACAAGGAGGTAAATGATTCTATCTCACCAAGGATGTTTGCTTAAAGAGTAACAACTAAAGCCCTGGCCTCCCGACGGACCACCCACGACGTTAGGTCCACACAAATGCAGACGAGCCCGTCCCGCCTGATCTGAGGGACTGGGTGGATCAGGGTTCTGTGTAGAAGCCCCTGTACACTCGGGCTGAGGGGGCTTCTTGAGGCCACATAAAATGACACACGGCAGGACCTACAGGAAGGACTGAGCAGCCTCCTGTTAGACGGCTCTCAAAGGCCACATTCTTTGCAGCTGGTGTCTTAGGTCCACACCCTCCCTGTTTTGACTTTCCCAGAATAAAAGGATGGCGCTGGGACTGTCCAAACAGCTCCTACCTTCTGGAAAGGCGTTGTAGTCGTTCAGTTCCAGGGGGCAGTACACACCGGGAAACTGGCCTTCACAGGTCGCGCTCCAATCAATGAAACTGCTACAAAAAGCAAGAGGTCTAGTCTCAGAAACAGGATGTCAACTGACCAAGGGAAGAAAGAGGAAAACGGTTTACCTGCCTAGCATCCTCATCACTGCCAGTCCCTCAGTTTTGGAAATTAAAAGGTGTACTTTACCGTCACGGAATCAAAGACTAACTCAGTGTGCTCATCACCCACGACCTACCACTGCAGGGTGGACGGCTAGGACTGGACGCCCACTTCCTTCACAACGGGGGTGAAAAGCACAGCCCAGGGCAGATGGTCAGGGCTGTCGGAATAATGGTGCTGACAGGGTGACCAGCCTTGCATGGTGACCATCTCACAATGTGTACAAATATCAAACCACTGTGTTGTACACCTGAAACTAATGTGATATTGTATGTAAACTGTAATTCCCGAAAAAACCCTCAGAGATGGGAGTTTGATCTGTTGAGCAGAGAGAGCCAAGGAGCCAGGAGAAAAGGGGCCGGGGGAGCTTTCCTTTAAATGAGACGCTTATCATGAAAAGCAAATAAATTACCCAAGGATAAGGGGAATGGGTCCAAACCCAGCTTTCACTTGCCAGAGAATTACTTCCATTTAGACTGAAATCATTCTCACCTGGTGTCAGATAGCAACCGTGTAATGAGCAAGATCAAAATTTGAAAAACTGGCTCTCACTGCTAATTAAAAGGTATAGACTCCAAAAAGCATCCACCCACGTTTGTTCTAACGGGAGGCAGACCCTGTGGCTGTGGCTCTGTTAACGTGCGGAGGGCTGGATGCCATCCAGGGTCCCAGCACACATCCAGGGGCTTCAACACGTCCCGCTATTTAAAGTCCACCCTCGGGGCAGTCGCTCACGGAAACCACAACCACACAAACTGTGACTCGTGGTAGGTACTAGGATCCCAATTCCAATGTGGACTTTCACTACAGAAAGTAAGAAAGTAAATACCTCTATAATAAGCTGAACAAACAAACAAACAAACTTCAAATGGACTCTGATTACACACAGATATGAACATTTTCTCAAGTTTTCACAATTGAATGACATATCCGATGATGAATTTAAGAAACTGCCATTGGGTAACGATTTCCCAGTACTCAAACTATTCGATCTTTTGATGTTTAAATGTTTAAATGCAAGATGAATGCCGTGGAAAAATGGCAGTTTGTCTCCTGTGAGCGAGTAGGAATTACGAGCGACTGTTTTTGTTTTTTCCATTTTGTCTCTAATCTACTAATAGTTCATCTTTTCATTGAATATATTAATAGCTCATCTTTTTAAAAAGTGAAGCAATGACATGGTCACCAGCTACGTTACTTTTTCCCCTTCGTGTTTCTCTCGGTTCTTGGTTTGTCATTTCTAAGACATCGCGATTCAACCAGGCAGGTGGCAGCACCCAGTTCAGGCGCCACGGGGCCAAGCGAGGCCATCTTCCGGTCGCCGGTGGGAGAGGAGGCCGTACCTGTTGGGTAGCGGGGCGGGTCCCTGCACCCCAGCTGGCATGCCGCTTTCCAGGGCGCAGCTGAAGCCACTCGTCACACACACGGGCTGCGAGGGCCACAGGTCTCCCGGCGGGTACAGACCTAGGGAAGAGAACTGGCCTCTCAGTCCACCTCCCAGCCCTGCAGGACCAGCTCAACTTCACCTCCTTCAGAAAGCACACCCCGGTCCCCCATCGTGGGGACCACTTCTGCCCTCCTCCAGCCCTGTCCGGACGTCAAGTGAACACACAGCAGGCGGCTTTGACCTTTACCTCAGACGGCAGGTACCACGGTCTCCTGACCCAGCTTACAAGACCGTTGTGATGACTCAACGGTACACATGGGCCCGCTTTCTGCAAAGCCCCCAGAGTCCAAGGACACAGCAGTGAACATGTTTGCATTCAAGTCAGCCAAACAAGGAACAGAAGTAAGAAGCTGGGGAAACGGTGCAGCCCCAGGGGTAAGACACCAGGGTTCTGCGGCAGTGGGGCGGCTGGGGACCAATGTCAACAGCTGGGGAGGGACCACCGTAGACTCCAGGAGGCCTGGGGCACAAAGTGACATGAGTGATCCCAGTTTTTCAGAACTGCCCCCGGACCCCTCCTCAGGAAGAAGCAGGGCCAGGGACGGCTCTCTAAAGCTGGGTAAAGGCCTGACTGCTGGGTCCTCCCAACACCCGCCACATGGTTCTGAACTCAGTTTGATCACCGACCCCCTTAACCTTTCCAGGGGATGCCCCACTCCTGCACCTCCCAGCAAAACACCTGTTGGCACCTCTGCTGGTCTCCCGCCTTCACTGCCATAGCCACTGCTCAGTCACTCATGGGATGGATGGATGGATGGATGGATGGATAAATGGATGGATAGATGGACAGATGGATGCCACTGGCTAGTGGCATGGACTAAAGGGACAGGCTGGCCATCTGCACACAGGCAGTGCCTCCACATAGGAAGATGTGACTCAACCATTCAAAATGACTTAGAAACCCAAAGGTTTGCCAGCCAGCCAGCTATGCTGGGGACACTGCTTGCCTGTGCCCCTGCCATGGGGGGAGCCCAACAAGTGGACACAAACCTCACTGCACCTCCTGTGTGGGAGGTAGTCCCCCTCCTGTAAACCCGGAGACTGGCCGCTCAGGGTGGTCAGAGAGACCTTGGAGTGTTTAAAGAAACAGCATCTGTAGACCACGTGGCTTTCATAGTGTGGAGGTCTCTCAATGAGGGGCTACCCTTGGCCACGCAGGGAGCTTTCCAGAAGGATAACTTGTGGTTCATGTACCTCCTACGGGCAGTGTTCACCACGAGGGAGCCGTCCAATTAGAAAAAGTGGGATAAACTTTGCTAAAATCAGCTGAAGTGGTAAAAGACACCCCCTTGGCCCAGAAGGCATTCAGGGCAGCCTCAGCCCACTGGTCAGGGCTGCTGGGGACAGGAGTGCCCTGGACACCCTCTGGCTGGCGGAGGCCCAGTCTAGCCGTCACTAACACCCCCTGCCGTGCCTGGAGAGGTCAGGACAGAGACGTGAAGAGCGAGCCACCCGGCCTCGCTCAGCGGCTGGGTCGGGACTCTGCGCAGCAGGGCTGCGGTCAGCGCTGCAGGGCAGCTGCACCCTGCTGCTTGAGTCCTGTTGAGAGCAGTGCGAACTAGATGCTGTAGGAGCCAATTAAGAGACTCACTGCCCCCTTCTGTCCATCAGATGAACCAAGAACTGCTTACGGAGTGATGTCCTCATGAGCAAAGGGACAAGAAGCCAAGACCACACAGAAACAAGGGGCATGTGTGCTGCCAGGAGACAGTCCTCTGTGGGTCTCACCTTTCTGTACTTCCTGAGAGCAGATGCTCTGGCTGTCCACATTCTGACCTACCCTTTCAAGGGTATTTGCTAAACAAAGCCTCAGAAGATAGAGACAGGGTCTCCCTTTAGAGCAGGGGGCAAGTTTGTTTTGTCCAACACGATAAAGGTAACATCTCCTGCCTCTTATAAAAAACACCTGGGCTCCATTAGCTCAGGGCTCCTTTCCTGTCATGCAACCACTGACCACTGCATGTGCAGGCGGCCCCCAAGAGACCGGCAGCAAGGGGGCCTGAAGGAAGTGTGCCGGGCTGCCTGCGGTGCTAAACGTCCTTTGCCTCTGACCCAGGAGTTCCCTGTCTTCTGCCAGCATCTGCAGAGTTGTGGCAGACTAGCTGGTTGGCTTGTGGTTAGGGAGAACGCCTCAGACCCCTCCCAGTCCTCAACAGTGACGTGATCTGACTTAGGTTTAACACGACCCCTCTGGTTGCTGTTAAAAACAGACGGCAAGGTGGTGACGGATGTTAACCAGACTTGCTGTGCTGTTCTGCAACATATGCAGATGTGCAATCATTATGCCGTGCACCTGAAACTCATATAATGTTATGTATCAATTACACCTCAAAAAAAAAAAAGAAGAAGAGAAAACAATGAGACAGTAGTGAGGAGAGAGCGGAAGCAGAGAGACCTGTCCAGTGGTCACGGTGACCACCTAAGTGAGGAATGACAGTGGCCTGGACCAGAGCAGTCACGGTGGAGGTGGGAGGAGTGAACAGACGCTGGATGCATCTGGAAGGCAGACGACTTTGAGAGTAAGACAACAGACTGTGCATGGGGGACAAGGAAAAAGGCGAGGCTGGCACCTAGATTACTGGCCTGAGCAACAAGACAGACCAAGTGGGGAGCCGGTGAGGAACAGGACTGAGGGAGGAGGTGACAGTCACTCTGGGACATCTGTGCGTCCCCCAAGGACAGAGGGCACGTGGCAAGTGGCTGTATGAGGCCAGACTGAAGGTACAGAGGTGGGAGTTGTTGGGGGAGGGGGAGAAGCTGTGAGAGGGACACGACCAGCAGGGGAGCATGGGCCTGGCCTCCTGGGACAGCGTCCAGCATGGGGGAGGGGAGGAGGAACCGCACAGGGACCCCGGAGGGCACAGCCAGAGCAGAATGTCTTGGGTCCACAGGAGGTCGACTTGAAGACAAAGGACGGAGTGTGGGATTTGCAGACAAGGAAGTCACTAGTGCCCTGCAGACACTGCCTCAGGGCGTCACAGCACAGCCAGTCCACAGGGTTTGGCGGAGAACCAGAGAAAGGGGTCTGAATCAGCAAGCTGTTCCCCTAAACAAAGAGGTCAGGAGCCACTAGACAACAGGGCCAAGGGAGAAGGTTCTGGCTGCTGTCGGTTTTTCAAAGACTGGAGAATTACAGGATATTTGCACACTGCTGGGAACGACTCTTTAGAGAAAACCCGATGCTGGCAAGAACCCTTGGCGAGGAGGGCTGCACTGCCACCCCACAGGTCGCAACATGAAAGGAGCAAGGGTGACAGGTCACAGACGGGGCAGGGGAAGATCTCTAACTGCTTCTCTCTTCCCCAGCGAAACAGGACGCAAGATCGACTAGGAGAACCAGGCAGAGATGCTGGAGGAGGGTCGGGGGTGAGGAGCCCAGGGAGATGCAGCCGCTGCCCGGGAAGGATCGCGTGTTGACAAGCAGCTGTGTTCCAGTCTCGCTCATCAGCACAGAAACAGGCAGAGAAGCTGGAGAACCGGGCAGAACCACGACTGCGGCTTTGCATAGGGGGTGCGATCACGGGAGGGGAGGTGGGGAAGTGATGTAACAATGGATCAGAGAACTGAGGCTGCACACACGAGGGAGGTGATGGGCAGGGAGACAGGGACAGGACCGGGGCTCTGCAGACAGGAATTGTGGACAAGCTCTATTTCTTTAGTGACTTTATGGTCTAACCAGGGATTGTAACCCATCGTCAAAAAGAAACAGATTATTAGTGAAGACAAGGTAAAAGACACCTGAAATACACACACACACACATACACACCATGGATTAAGGCACTAGATGACATATAATTCTCCAACTGATGACAAAACACAGGACAACACGTTGAGACATGTCTGTTTGATACAGGTTTTCTCCTTCCCCACCATCAACTATATCCTCTATTATCTCCAAGAAAAAAGGTGGTACCATTTAAACACCTCCAAATATTACCTCAAAAAACTACTGAATTTAAGAGGTTCTTTTAATTGAAAACTAATTTTATTGGACTAGTAATTAGATCGACCTCATAGTTCATTTATTTTTGTTGATAATTTGACAGCCAGTCCAAAATGTGACCAGAGGACAGCACAGAAGCCTCATGCCTTCATAGTAGAACAGCTCCACTGTGCAGAGCAGCGTTTAGCTCCCGCACGATTTACATGAGCAAACGTGCGCATCAGAGCCGGGAGCGCCCGGAGGGTGAAACGCACCAGGCTCACCCTGCAGAGCCCTGACCGGGTTAGGGAGGAAGGCGGCACAAGAAGAAAACAGGAGCCACGAGACCAACCAAGGCAAGAGAGGTAAAGGGGAGGGGAAAGGGAGAAGAAGGCCTGGAGGTAACCTCCGGGACAGACCCAGGAGGAAGCAGGCTTCCCTCCCGCCGGGTCCGCACTCTGCGCTCCGGGGCCGCAGACCCCGCCTGGCAGGGGCCGGCAGAAGCTAAGAGCTCAGTGGGCTCTGGGGCAGGAGCGAGGCTGGTCACTGAGGCCGGCCAACAGGCTTCTGCAGCAGGGGAGGAGGGTGAAGACGCAGGGGAAGTGGAGGTCGGCTGATACAGGTGCCAGACCCTCGCCCTCGGTCGGCTCTCCAGCCGGCCTGCCACCACCCTCTATTTCTGCCACCTTGGACGGGAATGGGGAACTAAAGGCAGTGGTATTTAGGGGCGCACTGCTGCCTGGGGGCCACAGGCCATCTGTGCCTCGTTTACCAGGAGGGGGCTGAGGGCCAGCGCAGAAGGGCAGCTGAAGTCAGAGGCCCCGAGGATGCCCGTGCAGAGGACAGGTGCCTTCCCGAGGCACGAAAACCCAGAGCCACGGGGTCCTGGGCCCTGGTCCCCAGCCTGCCTCATCCACCCCCCAGCTCCCCGGCCAGCAGGGCAACGGGGACCCCTGGCCGGCATCCCGAGCAAGAGGAACAGGCCTCACCTTTGTCTTCCTCAACACCCGCAGGTCCAGCAGGAAGGCTGGGACAGGGAGCATTCGAGAACCGGGGGAGGTCAGTCGCATGTCTGCGGGGAGAGCACGAAGAGCGGAACTACTGGCTTTCTGAACAAGGCAATACTGACTTTGTACGACCCACTCTGACTGAGTTTTTACATGAAAGCCTCCCCTAAAACACACACGGATACTGGAGACACAACGTTGCACACCCAGAAAAGGGCTGGGGATGTTAACTTTCCCAGGTCCAGCCAAGTCTTGTTTTAATAAACAACAACACGGTTTAACCAAGGTAACTTCGGGCATCGATCTGCAGTTTCCAATCCGCCTCCCACCAGCGGGAAGCAGTTCTTGCCCTGAATTACTCTCTACCCCAGACAGAAACAGTTCGCACAGAGCCTCCCTTGTCCAGTTCCACTGAATGACACCCTCCTGTCCCCTCAAGGCGCCTAACACTTCCTTCCACTTCTCACTCTGAAGCCCTCTCCTTCTTACGTCCCCTCCCCTTCTCTCTCTCAGTAAATGGGGCTTGTTTATCTTGCCCAATGCTGCAGAAATCAGCACATGGCGAAATTACAAATGCGGGTCAACTAGGTTCCTGCAAACTTCTCTGAATCATCAGTGCTCAGTTTTATTTCGAGTCCTAGCAAAGAGTAGATGGTTCCCATCCCTAACTCGTGTTCTTCCTACTTTCAGGAATGAGATGTTCTCTAGCGTGGCCTTATCACTGAAAGGACCAGCGATACCCGACGCTCCCACGGGACCGTGTTCACGTGGAGGGACCACATGCTCTGAACTGTTAATAAAATCAGACTTTACTTTCTCACATCCTTAAAAAGCTGTTTATATTTTCGCCTGCAGAACCAAGTGCAAAGAAAAAAGACACTGAATGACAGGAAAAGCAGTACCTAAAACACACTGCAGAAGCTGGAAAATGAAACACTTACGTGGGGTTGCAGATGTTATGAGAAAGATTCAAGATGATGGGGGTTTCGGGGGGAAAGTCACTTTGCAAAACACTGTCTCCTGCATAAAAACAAAGAGAGGATCACAAGTTTTTACAAGCATAATTCAACTGTATATATATTAAGATGCAGACTGCTAATATCATTAACCGCTGACGAGTGATTTTTCACTTTAAACTGACATTTACACATCAAGTAATTTAATTTTTTTAATTAAAATTTTTTTTATGTATGTATATGCATAAAATGTGTGGGCTCATACTTCAGAAACACTTTGCCTTTTTGGTCTTTCACACCGTTAATTATAATGGGGACATTTTCCTGGTACTTATTACACAATCTCCAGACACCCCCAGACTGCATCACATGCCACCGTGTCACAGCAACACATTTCTCATTCTCCTGTCGCTGGCCTTATGCCCCAAGCTGCACTTCTATCAGGCAGGCTGTCTTCAGTGACCAAGAAAACCATCCCTGCCCCCAAGTAAAACGCCACAAGCCGGGCCTATATCCAAGTCCGTGCATCCTCCACGCGGGTGGTACTGTCCCCACAGATGGGGCAGGGCTGGTTTGGTTCCTGGAGCTGGGAATAATAGCTTATCATTTATGTATGAGACACAGCACACAGTAATAAACAGATACACAGTGTATGTCGGTGGCACTGAAATTTTAGGTGGGTTGTTAGGCAAACGGTGTCCACGAAGGAACCTGTTGGAGGGGCCAACGATGAGAAAAAGGCTGAGAAACAGACTCAACTCACAAGTGGGCGTTTGTCTAGGCTACTATGGTACCAGGACCCTGGACTGTCAGATGAGACCTTCTTTACAGGTACCACTGCTGGCAGGAGGGAGAACAGAGGCCAGCCGAGAGCCTGCTGTACGGAGTGGGAGGTGGGGGAAGTGGGCTGGGCTCTGAGGGAGACGTGGGGTCCTGAGCCCGGGTCCTCTGCACCCCACAGAGCGAGCGCCCCACAGATCCACAGTGACACCAGCGGGAATCCCTGCCCTGATACAATGCTTAACCACGTTCTGTGTCGACTGTAACAGTGAAAAGGGGTGAATTAAATCCTTACATAGACACTGAGCTGTAACAAATGATGCCAAGGGAAAAGCAAGCCACAGTGTGCGACCCTGAAGTACGATCTCCTTTGTGTAAATTAAAACAACTCTCTATTTTGTTGATGGCTGTGTGAATGTAAAATAAAATATGGACTAAAAGAATACACACCAAGTCCGTGACATTGGACGGTGAGTCTCTCAAGGAGGGGGAAATGGAACAGGCTATAAAGTATTATTCTTTAAAAACAAAATTAGGAAAAATCTGACAAAATTAAGAGGGATTAGTTCTGGGTCACAGAAATACAGATGCTGCTTCCACCTTTCCTGCATCTTCAAATTTCTCAAAGTGGGGACCACTGTTTACAGCAATGTTATTCATGATACCCAAAAGGTAGTGTCCGTTAACAGAAGAATGGACAGACAAAATGCGGTATATACCCATGATGGAATAGTATTCAGCCTTAAAAAGGAAGGAAACCTTGCCATGTCAGAACATGGGTGAACCCTGAAGACATCATGCTAAATGAAAAAGCCAGTCACCGAAGGACAAATCTGTGTGACTTCCCTGACCAGCTACCAGAGTGGCCAAATTCACAGACAGCAAGTGGAGCAGAGGTCACAGGGCTGCAGGGGCGGGGAGGGGAGAGCTGGGGTTAACTAGGTACCGAGTTTCTGTTTGAAAAGATGGAAAAGGTCTGAAGATGGACAGTGGTGGAGGTTGCAGAACCATACGAATGTACTCAATGCCACTGAACTGTACACTCAGAAACAGTTAAAATGGTAAATTCTGTGTTGTGTATATCACAATAAAAATGTACAAGTGAAAACGTGGGAATTCTTCCAACTGTTTCCAAGATGGAGACTTAAATAATAATAATACTAATAATAACAGATGGAGGAAAGACGGAAAAAGAAAGTAGGATAAATTACG